GCTCTTTCTGATGGGTTTGTTAAGTTATTTTGCACCACATATTTTCATGTTTTCCTTGTCTGGTTTCTCTACAGACCCTCGCATCATTGTTTTCAAGCGTTGTCAAAGCGCGTCAGCTGAGTAGTAAGACACTTGAACAGTTCAGACATTTGTTAATTACGGGAGGAAATGAGTGGTTCATTTACTCTATAGTCCAGGTTAGCGCGCTCTTGTCACGATCGGTTCAGTGCGAATCTGTTGTTCAATGAATTAAGTTTAATTTTCTCTCTCATACATTGCCGACTCTTCACTGATGGTTTGCAATCTCTCCCTGCAACCCTTATCTCCCAGAAGTGATTAACATGTAACTTCCCCCCTATAACATCCAGTCATTATCCAGGAAACAGGTTATGAGAATACTTGCTCTTATCAGGTAGAAGTTGTGTTCTTGATCTAACACCAAATTCGCGTTACTAATTTACAATCAGATCTTGGGAGTTTAAGGACTAAGTCTATCAAAGGTCTTGTTTTGATAACCTCAGGAGGATCTCTAAGTCCAATCCAGTGTCGCAACGCACGTGTGCATATAGCATACGTTAAAGGCCTTAAACCTGATTCATAAAATATCATGGAGAAATCGCTTTTGGATGAAGGCCTATATGGGGAATTCAGTCTTAGCATCACAACCAATCGTTTTCATTTCTCTCTGAATCAGGAGGTGTTGAAGTGCAACCGACATGAAGATATCTTACTGGCAGGTCAGTTATTACATTTAGTTCAGTAACGTCCAGTTTACATTGGAGGTTGTCAGTGAGCCGAAGGCGTAATTTCTTTTGCAGACTACTGAAGAAATCCTTCGCTGGGCGCCTCTCCCTTCCCTGCCCTTGTTTAAGTGAAAATTGGACGAGATTTGTTCGGGTGTAATCAGCTTAAATTTCCATTCTTTGTCGTTTTTTTCCTACTCCTTGAGTTGTCTGATGATGTCTCTCGAGAAGGAGAATTCACTCACATGTGCAGTTTTCGGTCTCGTTTAGCTTTCTTTCACCCCTACCCCGTTAAACTCCTCTTCGTTTGCGCAATTTTTCTTTCTGTATTCGTTATGAAAATTAAAATGTTATATTTGAAATGTATATTAAAATAGTGTTGCATTGTCCAAACTGTCTTTTTTTTCGTTATTGTTTATTAGCGGACTTGGCCAGTTGTCTTTTAACGTTTGACTCTGAAAGCTTAGTGCCTTGCTTTCTTGAAAAAGTTATGCCAATGGTTATGAATCACACAGAAGCTGAAACAATATTAGAAGACCCAAAGGTACAGTTGTTTATATCGGTTTTTCCTAATTGTTTGGACACTGGTGTATTCTCATATCCAATCAGCACACATACATATGGGCCTATATTACCCGCTTTGCTCCGCTTTGTTCCGCGATATTGATCAAGCATGTTTGGTTAAGATAGCGAGATGTTAGCTTTGCTCTCTTCATTGAGAACAGAGGAGAAATCTAGGTCTATTAGAACGGAAAAAAAGACCGTGACCTTAAAATGCGTAACAGTCGTAGATGTTTCCTCTCGGGAGAAACACGAGGCTTGCAGAAGTCACGCAAAGTAAAGGTGTTCGAGGCAGAGCTCCTTTATGCCACTTGTATTAAAGTGACTAATGCTCAGCTTACGCTTCTCCCGGTTGGCCAAAAGAAAACGTTAATGAATGCTGCATTGGTAAGTCTGGTCGATATTGGGCCAATTTGACCTTAAACTTGATTAATGACACAGACGTGCATTTTCTTCCCTCCAGGGTTGGGCTATCGCTCGGCTTATGGCACACGCTGTGTGTTTGGGAATGACCATAGAACATACACTGTCGAAAGGAGATTTAACTGATAGCGAAATCGAGCGGTAAGAAATGTGAACAAGACTGAGGTGTATTGTTCCTTATTAACTGGCTATTTAAATATCAAGTCAAGGTCTCTTAATTTAGTTCAACTAGTTTGATTTCTTTCTTTCTTTCTTTTTTAAAGCCCGGCTAAAATACAGAGGTTGGACAGTTTTCCCTCTCTCTTCAATTCCACGTCTTCATCACGCGTCCAACAGACTCTTGGTACGTTTATTTTGAAACGTAGACAGCATTTGATTGTAATGACATGACTGCGAAGATTATCACGTTTTATCTGTATTTTTTTACCAGTAAACATCACATTGTGCCGAGTTCCGAAAGTTAAGATATTGACCTCTATTTCGATCTATTGATTAGTTCGCTTTTGTGAGGATTTTATTGCCACCGTTAAAACCACCGAGGTTGGACCAGTGCCAGCACTATTGGTGTCCTTCCTTCAACAAGCTGTCGCCAGTATTGGAACCATCGTTGGGCCCCTATCAGCCTGTCTTCCAGAAGATTTGGTAGGTACATGTAGTTTTAATTTTTTTAGTCAAAATTGTGGGTCAAGGACCACTTCCCATTCTTTCGTCCCTTTCGTTTAAGCCTTTCTTAACCTTCAACACTTAGAGAAGGATTAAAGTTTCATAATAACGCCTCAAGTAACTTTTTATACATTACTTGCAGGACAATATGTTAAACAGAGTACTTACACTTTTTGATTTCCTATAAAGCAATTTATACTATAAATAAATCTTTAAAAGAAACTGCATAAACTGGCAGTTTATGCAGTTTCTTTTAAAGATTTATTCAGCAAAACCTTGGGAAAGCTCATTAGTTTAGAAAAAAATTGAATGTCACTATTTGGAGTATACTGGTTTATCTCTGGCTTGTTCACATCCCCTTAAAGAATGACTCGTTTTTTGACCCTTTACACCCTAACATCGGTATAAATATTCTCTATTCTGTTCTCTATAAATTTCTTAAGTTGTTGACAGGGAGAATTTGTTTAACAATCAGAAGCTTCTTTAGTTGGTTGCTTATTTCCTTTATCTTCATGACCTTAATGTGTGATTTGTGGGTGATATTGTAAGGAGAAGTTAGATGTTAGTCACTCGTTGGGGTCGAATGGTAACATAACTAGCATACTTATACCATTTCAGGTAAAGGAAATATTGGAATTATCACCTAGTCTTCAAAACACACCCGATGTACTTTTGGGGTTGTGTAACATGAAGACAACGGAAGGTCGACAGTTGTGTGCCAAGGCTTTGTGTAATAGTATTTGAACGTCTGTAGATTTGCATAATTGACTGGAAAGAGTTCAGTGGCATGGACGATGTTAAGGGTTGTTTGAATGGTGAACTTAAACCAGAGGTCAAGCATAACGTATGGAATCAGTTGTGGATGTGAACGCCGCCAGCTGATGTAAGTTCTTTTAGTAAAGGAAACTCTGCATGGGATGCAACGATATCAAGGAAACGGATCGAAATTTTTGGTGGAAATAAAAACGCACACAATAACAACACAACAACAACAACAACAACAACAGCAACAAAAAGAAAGTTACTTCAAAGAAGAGAAAGAACTGAAAATTAGACCTCTAGGTACCAGAATGGGAAGAGATAGGACTGAAAATTAGACCTCTGGGCACCAGGGTCGGAAGAGAGTGGACTGAAACGAGACCTCTAGGTACCAGAAGTCGGAAGAGAGAGGACTGAAAACGAGACCTCTAGGTATTAAGGTCGGGAAAGAGAGGACTCAAAATGAGACCTCTAGGTACTAGGGTCGGGAAAGATCTGACAAATAGGCTAACCCCAAGTTACCCCTAAATTTCCATTGCGTTGCGAGGCCGGAAACTCATTTTCTCAAAGAATCAATAGTCGGCCTCGGTTTGAAAATGGAGACGTGTGGAACTCAGCTTTGGTTCATTACCTCTGGGCCACAGAGTTCCTTGATGAACAATCTCTCTGTTTTCGAAGCCGTCCTAGTTAACTTCAATCATGGGTTTACCCTCTATTTAATCGTGTATTTGCAAACCCTCTACGTCCACTACTTAGGTGGCAAAGGAATAAAACGTGAGAATTAAAGAATGTAAATACATGCACACATATATTTAAAGAATATCTTTATACGAGTAGAAGTGAAATGTAAAGTTTATGTCTGGTTCATTGTACTGGAGCGAGCTTGTTAACGTTTAGTTATTTTTATGGCAGCTTTTAATTTAAACACTTTAACCGCAGTTAAACATGGTGGGGACATTTACGGAACAAAAAGGGATCAATATCAGTATCTGGGCAACTACCCACCTACCCCTCCCCTAACTCAACAACTGTCAATTGACAACAAGTTAAGGTTAACGTTGGGTTAGGGGAGGGTTAGGTGGGCAGTCGCCCAGATACTGATATTGATCCACCAAAGGAATAGAAGTCACTCCTCAGCCATAACTTGCCTTAGACAGCTTTGGGTTCACCACCATTTGACCACCATTTGAAAGTCGGAAATTGCCTGGGAACGAGGATTCGGGCCTTATTCGGTCACTATACAAACCAGCGCGAAATATTACCTTTATGCACAACGTAGCGACACTGTTGGGTGCAATCTGATTGGTGAGACTCCAAGGACTCTCGTTTGTGAAAAATTAACGGTTTTGTCTTTGAGTTTTGCAAACATTTGCGATAGTTTAGTTGACAGGATGATATCCAGCTTCCTGAGTTACTTGAAGCTTCCTGCCTCGCTTTGTTAATTTAAAAATTTGTTCAATCACCTACAAAGCATTTTTTTCCGAAAAGTTTTCACCAACGCAATATTCATATTCAGTCTGCTGATCAGAAAAAAAAATAATCTAGAAAAATATCCAAACAGCAAACGTATGGCCAAGGAGCAGTTGGTTTTTGTTTTGATTCGGTTGGTTGAAACGTTCCAAGTCAATCAAAGAGCGTAGTGAAGAAGAAGGAAACTCAGGATCTCTTACAACCCTTGACACCCAAAGATAAGATTAAATATTCTTCACACTAGTCGCTATACATGACCAATGGTACTAACATGGAGAATTTGTTCGCTGAGTTAAGAGCGCTAGAGAGTGATCATTTCCTTTATTCTCATGACCTTAATGTTTGACTCGTCAATGATGCTGTAAGGAGAGATAAGAAACCAATCACTCCTAGAGATTCCAGGGTAAATTTTCAGTCAAAAATTGCTCTATATTCAAGTCATAAAGTATAAAAATCACTACAAGGAGTTTGCTCTTTGCGAGTGCTCTTAGTTCTAGGGAGGAAACAGATGGCGATTCGAATGGCAATTTCCGTGGTGGTTCAATTAAGTCCTTGAGTTTTTTTTTTAATGTATTTGGATTTCTCCAACTCGACGAATGGACTTAAAAGAGGCAGATGCCGGGATAGACTAACATAGGATGCGGGAGGAAGAAGAGTACCTAATTGCAACGAAAACGGCGCCATAACAACATCACAAGAGAAAATCAAGCAAATCCAAGATGACTAACTTTACGATTCCGACCCCTAGCAGACAACAAACTGCCCTGACGTCCCGCAGCACCGCGCTCAAGGTCATCGAATCCACAGCCATCCTTTTTATAAATTTATTTGCGCTTGCTGGAAACGCAATCTTATACTGGGCTATCCGAAGAAACTGCCGCCTTCGACAAAATACAACGAATTTATTAATTTCATCTCTGGCTTTGGGTGATATACTTATGGCCGTTCTTTGTATGCCGTTCTCGATAGGAGTTTTCATTCTGGGACGGTGGATGTTTGGCGAGTTAGTTTGTCAGCTCCAGGGATTCGCTTTCTTCGTGTTGGCGTTTGTTTCGCAAGAAACCATGGCCCTGATTGCAGTAAACCGCTACCTAAACGTTACAAAACCTGTCGTTTATCGTAGAATCTTTACACGCAAAAGATCTCTTAGAATGATCGTATTTGTATGGCTAGTTTGCGTGATTTACGTAAGTATTTTTGCCATCCTGAAATGGCCAGTTTTCGTCTTCGACCCCGGCAAGACTATCTGCCACATTAGCTTAACAGATCACAATTTTAAGAATGCTTGGAATACAATAACAATGGTTGTTTTTTCACTTACCCCTATGGCAACCCTATTTGTTTCTTACTGGCGGGTTTTGGTGTGCGTTCGTAGACACAATACTGTAGCTTTACGCTCGCTTCGCACTGGAAGTTTGCAAAGAAGTGCCCATGCATTGGAAGATATAAAGATTAGCAAGATCATTCTAGGTCTGATAGCAGGTTATTTCTGTTGTTGGCTCCCGGCGTACAGTATTTCTTACGTCAAGCTAGCTTATCCCGCTGTTTCAGACCAGCGTTTCCCCCAAACCCTCTGGGCTTTTCTGGTATTCAGTTCTAGTGCCATAAATTCTGTTATTTATGGAATTCTGAACAGAACATTTCGAATAGAAATTCTCAAGATAGTGAGTCGCAAAAGGGGTGTAGATCGAGCCGTCGAAAACAACATTACGAACTGTGTCTTGTAAAGAAAAGAAACTATACTTTTGCCATACTTGAAGTTATATGTGTCTAGCTATTTTTAAAAACTCTCTCTCAATTCATTTGATACAGACAGAGAGAGCGAGAGAACAAAAACAGCTTTAATTGAAATGATAAAGAAAACCAAAGAGTTTAGTTGCGTTCAAATGTATTTTTATGGTGTACATTAGCCTAAGTTTGACAATTCTGTTATCATGGAAAATAAATTAGATTTGATTTGTATGTCAAGTTCCTCTGGTATCCGCAATCACTTTTGGTTCAGACCAAAGAAGAAAGAAATAATTACTTTTGCCTTGCCCTTGTTGCAAATGAAATTTCGTAGTGCCGAACTATTTTTGGCGGTAATAAAGGCGTCTCACTTTTGAAGTTAATCTACGTTCACGAAAGTGTTCCAAGTTTCCCTAGTCAAATGAAAGCTTTTCAGCCGGTACAGGACACAGTAATCAACTCGAGTAAAAAAGTTGGATTTCCATTCAAATTTCCGTTGCCTAGACTTGAGATGAAATATACGTCAGCGGATGTCAATATTTGTGTCACTAGTAATAAGGCTGTGTCCATTATTAAAGCTAGCATTTTTTAATCATGTCTGTAGGAGAACCTTAATTCATAGGTGAGTAAAATAAAAGGTCAGATGGTCGCAAAAAAAGAACGTAGCTACATCTGACTGATTTCTCCAACTCTCCACAAATTGACATTTTAGTCATCCTTTTGCAGCGACGTTGGGACCTTTCGGTTCGTTTCCGTAGATCTTCGGAAATCGTCGGAACAGCAAATCGTTGTTGAGCATAACATTTGATATCCTAACCTGTATAAGTTATCAAAGCTATGCTCTTTCCGAGCATAAGACTCTACCAAGGCGCGATGAGGAAAACCTCTTTACAGTACCCTTTTATATCTATTCTGAAATCACTGATGATCTTCGCAATCTGATTGGCTCTTGGATTTACTCTAAATGGCAAATTTATTGAACCAACAAGAAGGGTACTCTGTCACAAAACCGCCCAGATTAAGAAGTTTCATTAGGGGAAAATGCCGAACAAACGCCAGTTTGTGGCGAATTTTACAAGTTTTATGGCCAAAATGTTTCCTCTACCAGACACCCTCCATAATAGCCTAGAAAATTTGGTTTAACCCTTTAACTCCCAGATCAAATTTGTAATTCTCCTTACTGTCAACCATACAATTCTTAGAATGCTAGTTCAGAGAATTTAGTATTGGATCAACCAATTATCCCTAATTTGATATTTTTCTTTATTCTCATTACTTATCTGATTGATATTGTATAGATATTGTGAGGAGAAATTCTGTCTTGGTCACTCATGGGAGTTAAAGGGCTGAAGACAAAGACAAGGAATAAACACGACTCAAGTTAGGTTTCTGTGAATCTTTATTCCACATCTTTTTTTCGAACTTTTCTTTTTTACAAAAGTTGCATGTTCCTTTTCGCACAAGGCCAAAAGTAGGCCCTTTTTTATTGCGTTTTCCATAATTTAAAATTCTCCATCACTTTCAAACCAGACCATAATATCTTTATTTGAAACGTGTTAATTATTTCAGTGTCACTCTCGGCGCCCAGAAACTATACTTTAAAAAGTAAAAATTAATATAATCTATCAAAAGTTTTCTATTAAAAAAAAAGGCATTAGAACTATGTCGACGAAGAACAGCGAAGGAAAAAAACATTAAAACTATAAAAACTAATTAGACTGTTTTTTAAGGACTGTAAGCTCGATAAAATTATTAAAATCTCAAAAGAAACAGAAAACATATTTTAAAAATAATTTAGCAAAAAGAGTGAATTTATTGCATAACTAGAAAATGAGATTTACTCTACCATTTGTAATAATTATCGCTAAAATTTATTTTTCTCTTGCCCTGACGACAAAAAGTATTTCAATTAGTACCGTAGGTAATATTTCATTAATGCTAAAATCTGAGAAAAATTTGATCTGGTGATATTACTACTATGACTTAGTCTTGCTAAAATCATATTTTACAAACATTAAAACAGTATAGTGGTCAAAATTTCAAGAAAGCATGGTTTAGACTCGGTGTTCTCCTTTTCAGACAGTAACCGGTAAAATTTACCGCCTGTAGTACCTCTTAATACCGTTTAAAATTGCTTGGAATTCTTAAAAATTCCACAGGTAGAAGGATTCCTTTACCGGTTTGAAAATTTATTTTACCTGTTATGCTTAAAATAAGGGAGAACACTGATTTAGACTATTGTTTAACGGAAATTAAATTTCCAGAACAATTGAAACCCTCTCAGAGTCAAGTATCATTTGCTTTTGTTTTCAATTGCCACACATTCCCAATCTATCTTTACATGCGACCCACATATTTCCATCTTTTAAACACCATAGCACATTCGATTGCCATCTAAATTGGTACGAATGGCAGGCCGACCGTGTCAAAAGTGGGTCGATATTGACATCACTTACCGATTTCGATCTATGAGGTTTGGAAATCACACGAATACTGAAAATCGATGGGCAATTTCAAAGTCAACTCACTTCTGTTACCTTTGCCATAGTTACGATTTTAGAGACACTTCCAAAGAAAACACGTCGCAGTACCGCCTCTCACACTTAGTCACGCGTTCTGACCAAGGTCACGAATTCTTACACCGATAATCATACTTCGGGTGACCATCAAAAGGAACCTGTCGACCGTTGATGAGTGTTTGTAGAAGCCATTCCAGTGACACAATAGGAATCGCAAGCAGATTAGCGGCGTGTTTGACACTCGCAGGAAGCTTGTGATCCTCGCAGATGATAACATCGCATTCGTAATCAACGCGGCCTGGAAGCTTGGCGACCATCCTACATCCCGCAGCCAGCAACACGCTGGACCAAGTTTCCTTGAACTGCTGGCTCCCGTGAAGATAGACCTTGTGAATGACAAAATCGAATAATGAGAGAATATTAGGAGATGCATGGTTAGGCAACTTTAAAGAATTCCCTTTTCCTTGAACATCATTCACTAAATAGCACCGAAACAAGTTTTTAGACCTTTAGGAAGAACTCTGAATGGGTAAGGACAATAAAAATCAAAGGGGCTACATGTACATCGTTATCCAAAGACAACCTGCCCTTACAGCCGATTTTCCAAAGGAGTGAACACAGAGAAAGAGGAATTTTTCTTTTTAAAAGTTCAAGGTGATGAAATAATTACCTTCATGAGTCACATAGAAATAGCTATGCGTTTTCATGGTTGTGGAAGCATGCATGATCTTACCAGCCCCTCATGGATTCTTGAGCTTCAATATTTTCCTGGTTTAATGTAAATGGGTAACGCAATTTCCCGTTACCTACACGACAGGCGCAAAGAGGAAGGGGGGGAAAGACACTAAAAGTACGAGCCACGAAGTCCTCGTTCTACTTCCCCCTTCTCCGATTTTCCCTTTCTTTTCCCTCCCCTACTTACGCCTGCCTTGTAGGCGTTATTTTTCTACAAAAATTGGACTGATGCACGGGTATCATGAGAATAACATCACTTACTCGCATGTCGCCCAAAATGTTTCTTCTCGGCCGGCATTCTACAATTTCCCCGGCCTCTAGGCTTTCTCCCGCAGGGAGCAAGTACTTCTTGTAGTCCAAACGCTTATCACAAGCGCAACAATCATTTATCCACATGTGTGAAACACACGGAATTCCAGAAGCGAGGGATTGGAAATATTTTTGTGTCCGTTGGTGTGTGTGGGATATCAAGAAGCACTCTGCGCCAGAAATCTGTGATTGAGGAAACGAGGACAGCACGACGCCACCACCAGCCTCGATCTGACGTTTCAAGTGATGGCGATTAAAGTCAATTCTCTCCGATTCACTGTCCGTCTCTTCAGGCTCATCCTTGTCTCTGGTCACGCCTGTCACCAGAAAGGCTAAACCAGCAAAAGTATTCCTGTTTCTTGGTAGATGTGGTGCTTCGACAGTGTCCTCTCTGTCGCTTATCTGTTTACGCGGCGTGCGTCCTCTCACAGGTTGAGCCGGTATCGTGCCAACGGGCCTCGCAGGTGATTTGGGACCATACGTGGATGACAACCCTCTCCTAACATATCGTCGTTTGCCGCCAGCTTTACCATGCTGCTCATCTGAACTCGACTCGCTCTCACCAATCCTATGTCCCGCACGTCTAGCCTGTGCTTTGATCTTATGTGACGACTTATGTGTAGACTTAGGCGTGATATCCATGTCGGCGGACGCCACTTTTGAACGTCTTGGGCCAACGCGTGGTGAGGCGCGATCAGCATTTTTTTCCTGCTTTCTTTCGTCATTCGGGCTCGTGTCTTTAGAGCTAGTGTCTCGTGAGGTGTCCTTAGCATCTATGCCACCCGACTTGGAGACATCGTGTAGGCTAACGTTACTGCTCCCTGCTCGCCTCAAGCTATGTGCTCCAATACTGACACTGGAACCACTTGTGACGCTAAACGAACTATCACTGGATAAAACAGCTACGGCTTGCTGTTCCGATAAAATAATTCTACTCCGTGGGTACCGGCGTATTGCACCATTCTGGGTCTGTATTTCGTAACCGCGTGCGTTTCGATCTCGATAATGTCCCACGATCACCCCTTCTTCATAGAAGTCATCTACAAGATCCCCTTGAGCCATGACACTCTGCCCAACCGGCAATAAATCCTTGATGATAAGGTTTTCACGTGGAATCCTTCGTTTGTCGCCGTCGTCAAAGGTTACCGAGTATCGTCCGTTTTTGTACTGCTTTGCAGTGATTATTCCTGGATAGAAGTAACCGTCCAACCACTTCGCTAACACGCGGGTTCCAGGAGTCAAAGAGGAGTCACTCGATGAGGAGCGTTTGAGATTTGACTCCTTCTCTAAAATTGGTTCGGTATCCTGCCTTGAGATCGAAGGGATTTCTGTGGGTTCACCCCTAGTATGTTGGTTGTCATCTTGTCCTTTACCTCCATCTTCCGAGCTTCTATCAGAATCACCCTGACCGGAGGTTACCAAGGCCTGCGTTTTACCAGAAGCGCGCGTTGCTTGTTTAGAAGCTGGTGATTTACTACTTTTCCTTCGCAGAGAACTTCTGTTTTGTTGCTGAAGCTCATCTTGTTTCGGTGTCTTCGCAGTAACTGTTGCACGAGACCCGTCGACGTTGGAAGTCTCCACAAATTTAGTGACTTCCTCCTTCTCCTCCTCTTGGCTCTCCACTTTCGGTTCCCCATCTTCTTCAAAGGTGAAAACCTGCACAACTTCTCC